GCTCAGCGCTCAGCGCCCCGAGGGCTCAGCGCTCGCTCCTCTCTTGCAGCGCTGCAGCTCTCGCTTTCGCCTGCTGATCGCTGTGCTGAGTCCGTGCGAGGAATGGAGCAAGTTCGCGCAGCCTCTCGCTGACAGGCTCCGCGCCGGGCCATGCTCGCCGCTGGCAGCTCGCTGGGGACAGTTCTCCCTCTGGCCAGAGCTTTGCGACAACTTCTTGGGCGGAGAGATGAGTCCGCAGTGACCCGAAGCATCGCCGCGCCGTGCGAGGGACCCAACCGCCACTGCTATGGGGGATGAATTTTAAGATGAATTCCTACCTCGCCGACAAATCCAATGCCTCGGTCCCGGGATATCTGAGAGTGCCTGCACTAAGTAACGGCAGTGTCTCTGCAAACAGCTCCAACGGGACAGCAGGCAGCCTGGAGCCACCTGCCCTGGCCATCAGCAGGGCCATAGCCGTGGGGCTGATCCTCGGTGCCTTCATACTCTTTGCTATCGTGGGTAATATCCTGGTGATTCTCTCTGTGGCTTGCAACAGACACCTGAGAATCCCCACAAACTACTTCATCGTCAACCTGGCGATAGCAGATCTGCTGCTGAGCTTTACCGTGCTGCCATTCTCTGCGACACTGGAAGTCCTTGGCTACTGGGTGCTGGGCAGGATATTCTGTGACATCTGGGCAGCAGTGGATGTGCTGTGCTGCACAGCCTCTATCCTCAGCCTCTGTGCCATCTCCATAGACAGGTACATCGGGGTGCGTTACTCTCTGCAGTACCCGACGCTGGTGACAAGGAGAAGGGCCATCCTAGCTCTGCTGGGTGTCTGGGTCCTCTCCATGGTGATTTCCATTGGGCCTCTCCTGGGCTGGAAGGAACCGGCGCCCAAGGACGACAAGGAGTGCCGAATCACCGAGGAACCTTTCTACGCTTTGTTTTCCTCCTTGGGGTCTTTTTACATTCCTTTAATCGTCATCCTCGTCATGTACTGTCGGGTCTACATCGTGGCCAAAAGGACTACGAGGAACCTGGAAGCTGGGGTCATGAAAGAGATGTGCAACTCCAAGGAGCTGACCTTACGGATTCATTACAAGAACGTCCACGAGGACACGTTAAACAACACCAAATCCAAGGGGCACAACCCCAGGAACTCCTTAGCTCTCAAACTTTTGAAGTTCTCTAGAGAAAAGAAGGCAGCCAAGACGTTGGGAATTGTGGTTGGCATGTTTATCCTGTGCTGGCTCCCCTTCTTCATCGTTCTGCCTCTAGGTAAGCTGGGGACCAGGGGATGGAGAGGGGAGGAACTGGGTTAGTTGGTTACCACAAAAATATCACGGGGAAAATCAGATGCCTGAGAAGCAGATGCAGTTGTGAGGAGCAGTGAACAGGTGAAAGGAGGGGAAGGGAACTTCTTCTGCTAAGAACCATGCTGAAACTTTGGGGAGTGTGCAGCTGCAGAGCCCCTGTTCACCGGGACCCCTCTGGGATGGGCACGTGCCACATCAGGGCACAATCTCCTCAGAGTTTACACACAAAATCTTCCGTTATGTTTTCCATTTGCACTGAATTTGGTTTCAGAAACATTACCAGAGTGCTGTAACACGAACCCCAGAGCAGAACAGAGTTAGAGCACTGCAGGCTCTGGATTCAGGTCACTGCTGCTGTTTGGGCTGTCACACAGCAGGACTGTGGCACTACTAGGTGCCTTAGGTGGAGACGAACCTGAGCTAACGAGGTGCAGAACTCCCCTGAGCTTTGGGAAGCTGAAAAAGTCCTAGTTCTCGGTTCAAACGTTACTGATCAACCCCCAGAAGCAAAGGCATCAAGCCACAGATCCCCACAGAAAGGTTCTCACTGGTTTCCACAGGTGTGTGTTCAGGCATTCCAGAAGATTGCCCTGTGAGATTTGGGCAGCCACTTTGTGCCCTCACAGCTTGGAAAGATTATTAAAGCGTTTGCTGTAGCCTTAACAAATTGCTCTGTGTTCCCAGGCCCTTGGGAGACTTGCTTCTATTGCTTTTAACACTAGCACTGCCTCTGAAGTGGAGCATCTCAAGACATTCAGTTACTAAGCTTCTGAGAAATAGCTGTCCAAAATTAATTTCTCTGAGACAGAGACAATCTGGCAGCCTAAATATGGAAAGATGTGGGAAAAGAAAAGGGAGGAAAAGCCTTTATAATGTTCTGTATTGGTGTTGACTTAGTTACCCTACCAAAACATTTCTGATGGAGTGGTAAGTGAGTATTTATAGAGCCTGGTGTAGAAAACTGAGTTCAGCAGCCTGGTCCTGGTGAGGTGTTATAAAGCATTAATTTCAGTGGATGTGTAGTGTCCTTTAGACTAGAATCTTTACTGCAACACAACTACTTCACCTACTGCAGGGCAACTTTGCCAGCTCTATCTCATTGGATCATAAACCTTGAAACCTTTGTGATTCAAGATCTGTATAAAGGCAATGTTCAGGATGTGAAAAATTCCATACAGAAGGAAAATTGTGAGCAAAGTTCTCTTTGGCTACTGAAGTTTCAATCCTTGTGCTGACTCCTAAGGAAAGTTCATAGCACAGAGCGAGTTCCCAACTGTTACCTGTGCACAGAAAGGTGTTTCCACCATATGGTACCAGCATGAGACACGTAGCTAGCAGGTCACGATCCCCTCATAAAGTAGATTCCCTCCTTGATTTTGAGTCACTGAAGATACAAAAGCAGATGTGAGCACAGCAGAGTGTCTGTAGGCAGCACAGCCCAGTACAGCTCCTGACACTGCCCAGAACACAGACCCAGAGCAGCTCAGCACAAACACTGCACTCACAGGGCAGAAGCAATGTGAGAAACAAATCAGTTCCTTGAAAGAATGTCAGTTTTCCCTTTGAGAAGCTATTCTAAAGCTCCTGGGCTCCCCTGGCAGGGTGAGTGAGATGTTTAAGACACCTGAGTGAAGAATTTATTGCTTGCCAGAGGATGATTTTATCTCCCTTATGAACTGTGCACGAGGCAGGGGTGAGGTGAGAGCCCCAGCACAGCACTCTGTGTGCTGGCACAGATGCTGGGGGGGCTGAGCCCACTGCTGTTAACATCCCTTACAGAAAGCACCCAGTGATATGGAATTGGTTTCTGTGACAGGCAAACCACAGAATCCAAACAGTACTGATGGCTCACCCAGCTCTCCACAGGTCCTGGGCTATCCAGGCTGGATATCTCCACTTCCTGCAGGAATAGGATTCTTCCTTGGTGTCCATTTCTCACACCTGATGTTTGCACCACTGCCCCAGTTCAAGCCCTCACAACTGCAGCTTTACATTTGCTTTACATTTGCTTTACATTTTCTCCTGCTCCTTGCTCCCCTCAGTCCTACCACGGCTCTGCAGAAAGCTCTCAGCAGAGTAGCTCTGGATTTCTGTGTTCAGAACATCTGAACACAAGTTGCTCACTGCTGTTTCTGCAGCAGCCCAAAGCCATCTCTGAACACATCTGCTTATATGGAGTTTCCTTCATGTCAAAAATATTCTCGGCTCTTCCAGTAGTTTCCCAGACAATATCATTTTTCTGTCCTACCACGGCTCTGCAGAAAGCTCTCAGCAGAGTAGCTCTGGATTTCTGTGTTCAGAACATCTGAACACAAGTTGCTCACTGCTGTTTCTGCAGCAGCCCAAAGCCATCTCTGAACACATCTGCTTATATGGAGTTTCCTTCATGTCAAAAATATTCTCGGCTCTTCCAGTAGTTTCCCAGACAATATCATTTTTCTTCCACTCTGCATTTCACCACATCCCACAGCCACCTGTTTTGCAATTCCAGCAAGGGATTATGGCATCAGGTGGCAGATAGGTGCTGGGAACAGATGTGGTGCTGGAGGCAGGAGTACTGCTTGAATAAATACCCCATGACAAATGAAAAGGAATAATATTAACACTTGGAGTGTTTCTCAAGCTAAAACCAAAGGGCTCTGCAGAGCTGCCAGAGCTGTCTGTGCACTGCAGAGAGGAGTCACAGCACTGAGCACTTGATGAGCAGCACAAAGCATCACCCAGACTCTCTGTGGCACTGAACCTTTGCTGTCTCCAGTGCTAAGCACCTGATGATGCAGCAAAACTGGTGTCAAAGAGAATAGTCTGAGAAATTTGGTTTCATTCCAGTAGCTACTGGATATTCTTTCCAGACAGCAACAGAGCTACAGAACATCCTTGCTGCACACATTTATAAATGCTCTGTGGCTTTGTGGCAGTTATTTTGCCAGTCAAAATTATTTGTGATACCACATAACAGAATGAAATAAAGACATATGTGTCTTGGAGACAACTTCTCGTGCCATAAATTCAGTGACTCAGCTTTGAGGAGTAAATATCTTGCTGCTTTAGAATAAATGTTTCTTTTCATCCCTCTCCTACAAATCCTTCCTTAGGCATCAGGACTGTTAAATAGGCACTGCTGGAAAATGCTGAGTAAAATAGATTATTTAAAGACCAGAGCCCTGCAGAGGTAAGGCAGTAGTCACTAAAACTCCCTTCTTTAAACAAAGGAATATCCAATTTTATGCCTCTAATAACAAAATGAATCCAAAATGAAGGATCATATAAGTGCAGGTTAACTGAGATCTCAGTGGCTTTTTAGCCTTGTCCCACACACACACACACACAAAGGGAAAACTCACCATCTCCACATCAACTGCCCCAGCCCATTGCTAACTCCAGGGGAGAGCAGCAGAGCAGTGTTCCCTTCCCAGCTCAGCCTAAATCCCTGTTCCCACAAAACCTGGGATCCTACCCACTGAACTCAGAAACAAAGTCCTTGCAGCTTCACTGGCAGTGGGCTAAGGCCCCAGGAGCCCCAGGGTGTGGGTACAGCTGGGTTGACTCTCCTTCTGTACTAAGCTTTTGAAACCTCATTTTAAAACAATGAAATATTCCGCAGGCCACAGCTCAGCCAATGCAAAACGATGTTATTGAGGGCAGTATGTAGATTTGTGTTACACCAGGCCAAACTCTGCATCTCTGCACCACCAATACCATGTTAGAGCCCTCAGTTTCCCATGGGAAGCACTCCCAGGCATTAGGTCTGGTGCTGGCAGTGCCACTGGGCTGTGGTTTCCACAAGGCTTTAGGCTGCTTTGTCCTCCACTTCATTTCACCTCCTCTCCCTCCCCAGCTGCTCTAGCCCTCTAGATGTGATGTCCTCGAGTCAATAGTCACACACCATCCAGACCCATTCCTGAGCCACGTGGCAATGTGTCCCTCTGCCCATGGCCAGGACAGTGCTCCGGGCAAAGTTCAGCTGCACTGGTGACAGCAGGGACTGTGAAACTAAACATAAAGGGCAGTGACTGACCAGGGCAGCACCTTGTGCCACACAGGGACGACTAGATCATCTCAAGGTGATTCCTTTTCCCCCTGAAATAGCCTCCCCAGCCCTGGGTGAAGCCTTTTGCTTGGCAATGGTGTCAGTTACCAGTCACTCCTGGGTTTTACCACACAGTTGTTTGTTATCAAAGCAGGTGAGACCACACAAATTCTGGAGTACTTCCTCTGTAAGCTTTTGATTTGCATGGCAGAGGAACACAGGGAAATCTCAGTGTGCCGTGCCACAAAAACTTAAAGAAATTCAGAAACAAATACAAAAAGATCAACTCCTGTTGACTCCTGAGCCTCAGGGATAGCAGCAGCTCCTGTCTCAGGTGGTCAGAAAGCTCCAAGAAAAAATTCAGGACTGAGGCACTGGGCAGAAAGAAGGAAATCTCCAGAGTCTTGAAATCAAGGCCAGGAGTGATAACTCCAGAGGAAACATTGCTGTCAGCAAGGCAGTTGGACACAAGGTCCTTCTGCCAAAGGCATTTGAAAGCACTTGTACTATAGCCCAGGTTGGTGGTTGTGAGGAAAGCAAGCACTTGTGCTGTAGCCCAGGTTGGTGGTTGTGAGGAAAGCACTGAGTAAAGTTACCCAGGTGTGTATGGTTCTCATGCATCATGGCCATACCTCAGGCTCACAGTGCTGCCATGGCCAAGAGGGAGAGAGTTTTCATACCTGTACTAACACACTCCTCCACAGCCCCTGCAACAATTGTGCTATTTTCATGGCTTTCAGCCATCTCCAGAAACTGGAAAGCCACAACCATTGGTCTCTAAGTGACAAGAGAGAAAAACCCAGTGGCAGTTCATGCAGTGCCCCTGCAGCTGTTACTGGCTCCATGCTATAGGCCTGTTATCTACCAGTGATGGCCAAGACACATTGTCTCACTTATCAGTCAGGAGCAAGAAGGGGAGAAAATAAAACCAA